GTCATTTCACCAAACTGTCTTTCATAAGTTTTTGCATCATTGGTGTGGATTGCGCTGCTCTTATTGCGGTTGACTGAGTTTTTTTCTGGCTGCGATGAAACAACTAGGTATGTTCACAGCTTGATGTAACCATTTGATATGTCAATCGTCAAGTATTCCAGGCTAACTCTAGTGAGCTTGCACTTCTCTTTACAGTCATGCATGTTGAATGAGAATGAACCATTTGCTTGTGTCTCATAAGCATCTGGGACTTGTTCTGTAATGTTTGGATCCCAATTAAACTCTTTCTCAAATAATTAAAAGTAGACAAACAAATGAAGATGTAAATAGAAAATTCAGAGTTATCTTACAGAAAACACTCGGAACCAACTGGTTTTCCTGTATTGCAGCATTTTTCTATATGCTGGATACGAGAACGAAAGGTTGGATTTATGCATCTTCAAAATCTGCTTCCCAAATACGCCTTCAGCAATTTGACCAACTCGTTTATCAAGCATCTTGATGCGCATGGATAGGTTAGACAACTTCTCATATAACCCTTCATTATTCTTGCTTATATGATCATACATGTTGTCTACCTTGAAGCTGAAACTTTGGATGTCTTAGGCGTTTTGCTATTGCCCTTCCATAGTATGTTGTTAATCTTACATAAGCTGATGCATCATAGCTTCAAGGTCGCTCTTTTTAGTTGTTATATTCACGGGATCTTGTTCTAGATAAGGAGTTTCAACATTTGATTGAATGTTTTTGCAAGGAAACCCATTTTTGTTTTAGTTTTAATTGATTTCTTCAAATTTGTCAATGCAGTTGACTTCTCCCCTTTGTTGCTTGTGAGAATGATCAACAGCATACTCTCTATTAGTGTTAAAACCAGACTCTCTCATATTCTTCTTCTCGATCCTTTTGATTTCCACATAAGGTAACTCACACTTCCTCTTAACTGCTTCTTCAGAGGCAGCATCATCTCTTTCTTTTTCTCTTTTGATGTCCTCTCAATAGTGGCTGCAAGTCCGCATATCATGGTTTCAAGTTTACTAGCCATTCTTTGTTAAGTGAATGCATAGGATCAGCTTGGTTACTGTAACCACTAGTTGTTAAGTTATTGACAAGGATATGTGTCTTCTTTCCGTATTTTGTAGAAAAATCGACATCCCTTGCGGCATCGAGTAGAAGCTTGATTTCGTGATCAACTCCTCTGAAGAAAGTATTCATCATGAGTTCTTTGGAGTAACAATAAAACATTTTAATTTTAATTAATACTTAAGAAAATATTTAATATAATATGCAGATTGATTAAAATTAAAAATTTATATTAAAATTCAACTAAAACATTAAAAACATAAAATTACAAAGTTAAAATCAAACAAACATTTTAAAATTTAAAATACATATTAAAATTCAACTAAAACATCAAAAACATAAAATTACAAAGTTAAAATCAAACAAACATAAAAACTAATTGCAACAAGATAACCTTTAAAAGTCATATTATAAATTTAGACAATAATCTAATACCCAAGAAAATTATTTCGTCTAAGATAATCATAGTACTCGGTTAAACCTTGTTGATCACATGGAGATCTTTGGTCTTCATCTTGAGGTTGTTGATCTTGAACATGTTCGTCTTGAAATTGTTCTCTTTGATATTGATCTCCTTGATAATGTGATGCTCGATATTGAGATACATGGTGTTGGCTTTGAGAATCCTTTCTGTATTCTTCATTTTGGGTTGTTAGTGCTCTTCTTCTCAAAATTATCGCTCTTTCATTTTCAATATACGCACAACACACCGGATCAGTTACTTAAATCCGCAAATAAGATTTTATGCTCTTGTTTCATTCTTTGTACCTCGATTTTCTGTCTTTAGATTTCATTTCTTTCAGAAGTACCTTTAGCAATAGCTTTGATAAGCTTATCATTTTTCTCTATCATTTGTTTAAATTTTTCCTCACACTATTGCTTCTCTTTGCTTTTTTCATACCCACATGCCTCTGAGATGAATTTAAAATCGCTACTTCACTATTCATATTTAGATTGAATGAAATCATACCAGGAGATGACGATGACTCATCTTGGAATGATGGAGATGACCTGATTATGTGCCGTTGTCGAGGTGTTTGGAAGCCGTTATTTGTGATCATCTAATGCTAACGATGTTGCACGTAGATCTACTCTCCATTGGTGAACGTCGAGGATTTCTATGTATGTTGGGTAGTTTAGATTGTATGCATTAAAACGGAAAAGTGCCTAATAGCTTGGCGAGGACATATGTGAGTCGTAGCGGATCTCCTTTTATTATTTTAGAGGCTGTAGACAATTATAATCTTTGAATTTGGCATGCTTATTTGGGTCTACCACGAGCTAACAATGATATTATTGTGCTAGAGGCGTCTCATCTTTTTACTAATCTAGCTAAAGGAAGTGCTCCACCTGTTATTAATAGAAAAAAAAATATGAGATATTATCTAGCTGATGGTATATATTCAAAGTGGTCTACTCGTGTTCAAACAATTCACGGTCCACATGGTCCGGAAAAAAAATTATTTGCAAAGAAGCAAGAAGCATGTAGAAAAAACGTGGAATGTGCATTTGGAGTATTGTAGTTAAAATTTGCAATTGTACTCAGGCCAGCACGTTTTTAGAGTAAGAAAATGTTACATGATATAATGACAATTTGTATCATAATGCATAATATAATCATAGAGGACGAATGTGATGCTGATGCAATAATTTAAGAACGAGCCGAAGTCCTAACTGCAGAAGTTGAGATGGTGGATGATGAGGATGTTCGATTTCAAGAGTTTTTAGCTCGACGCAAGCAAATCAATGACTGAAATCTCATATTGAACTTCGAAATGCATTAATTGAACACATTTTGTCTAAATATACATATTCTGAAAATTATTATGATGTAATTATTTTATGCTTTTAATTTACCGATTGTAATTTTGAATTAATTTATAATTAATCAATTTAAAAAATAATTAATATTTGTTTAAATGAGAAAAAAAAATCTTAAATTTTAATAATTTTGTAATATAGAATATTATTTTAAATGTAAAATTTGGTGTTGTGGTTGAAGATAAAAGATAAAGTGAAACACCAAAATTTGATGTCTTTTCAACACCAAATATGAATTTCTATTTTGCATTGTTTTGTTGATCTAAAAAAAATCATTTTATATCACCAAACACATATTTTCGTCCACTACTAGAGTACTAATATAAGGATTATTTTCACGTAATAAATAATAACTATATGTTGTTGCTTTTTCAAAACTATATGTAATTTAAATAGTTATTTTAGCAATTTTATTATAAAATAGAATTCTTTATAAATAAAAATGTAAGAACAGTTTAGTAGTGTCTTGGGTCTACCATTAATCTGTTATTAATTTATATATAGTCTATTATTAATCTGTATTTAATATGCTTTCAATTATATGAACAAGTCTACTTTTAATCTACATTTAATCTGTCACTAGTTTGCATAGGAAAATAAGTAGAAAAATAGCGCCAATATTTATAAAATATATTTTATACGAGTTTATTTTTATAATTTTCCTTCAAATGACTATATTTCATACTATATTTTTATTATAGGCCATTTTAGATCATTCTTTACAAAATATATAGCCGGCTAAAAATTACTACTCCACATGTTTTATAATATTAGTTATTTTGGAAGTTTTATCTTGTTTTATAATGTAATAATTTATTTTTATTTTTTATTCTATTTTTACTTTATTAAATATTGTGACCAATTATATTTTATATTTTTATAATTAGTTGAATTATATTAAAATTGTATACTAAATGATTATTTTTTGAAGAAAAGTTTTTTTCTTAATCTTTGTGCTTTAAAGTAAAACAACTTATATTTTAGAACAGATGAAGTATATGGTTTTCGTATATGTTTTTTCTTTTTTTAAAACATTTTATTATTTTGAAGAAAAAAAAATAAGAAAAAAAAGGAAAAAGAAAAATGTAGGTAAAAATAAGAATAACAGAAATATTAGTATCAGTAATAGTGATAACAGTGGTGGTGACAATAATGATAAAAGTGGTCATCGTAATATTGACACGTATTAGCGATGATATTGTTGATAATGACAACTGCAATCACGCTGTTAAACAGCAGCAATAATAACGTTAATAATAATGTTGGTGACGGTTAATTAAATAATTATCAAAATAATTATACATAACTTATAAAGTTAACAAAGCTGATTAATCAGTAATTCATAATACAAAAAGTTAGCACGATAAGTATTACGATAAGTATCACTATAATAAGACTAATATACTAATTTGTGATAATGATAACATATTTAACATAATATTATCTATGATATTTTTAATACATTAACTTTGTGATAACAGTATTGTAGGATTGTTTAACTTTAAATAAATAGTATTGCATACAGTTCATAAACAATATTTTTTATTTACTGTGATATTATATTACTTAACATAATAATATAATTGTTATTTAATATTACACAATATTTTTTTTACTGTTAATTGATAGGAATAAAGATCTTATATTAATTTAGCAAACATAAATATTTATCAAACTAGTTTTTAATTATTATACTCTGTTTTTTAATTCATTATTATTTATGCAGCTGTTATGCTTGTCAAATCTGCTTTGTATTGGCTAAACTTTTGGGATGACTCTGTTTAATTTGAACGAGAATTAGTTGGAAAAAAAATGAATATAGATCAAGCACATTTAGATGAGATAATGAACATGGACCATATGAATCAGAGAGGCAAATAAAAGAAGAGAATGGGATGATGGGAAACAGCTGTCAAACAATGTCGGAAACGTTGACTTAGATTGGAACTTCTGACAAAACACAGACAAGACTTTAGCATCTATTCTTTATTTGTTTCTAAGACTATGGTTGGACCACACATTCTCAATTATTTAGTGAAACTTTGCACTCGCCGAACTATAAAAGATTTCCTTGTCCCCTTTAATTTTGACTCAGAATATTTCTACCTAAATCATAATGTTTCCTTTAACATTTTAAAAACCCACACTATGTGATTAATATACATTAAGTCATTAATTTATTGAGGTAATGATTCATGTCTTAATTTCGCATTTGACATCTGTGATGTGCCACTGCCACTCCTCAGGAAAAAATATTTGAATATTTTTATTTAATTTGTTTCTTTATTTCCTGTGATTTTTGTTAGATTTTACTTTTGCAATTGTGGTTAATATGGTTTTATCGATGGAATTTGATGTTGTAACATTCCACTTGCTTCAGTTCAGTTCAGTTCACTCTAGTTTTATAATTGTCTCTCCATCGCACTATAAGGAATCACGAAAGCAATTGAAAAAAAAAACACATTTTTATTAATATTTTGATTTAAAAGTGGACTCTTAATTATATTTGGTACTTCTCACTCTCTTCCTATCTCTCTCTCTCTCCTGGTCTTAGACAAGAACATGAAGCAAACCATGTGCCTCACAGTGTGTGTTCTCTTCTTCACCTTCCTTATTTTTCCCACAAGTTCTTCTGCAATCCGAAGAGGTATGTTGCATACGGTAATGATTAATATTTAAATAGTAAATAATCTTCCTTCTACTCTAAATCTTAATCTTTGATTAGGAAAAGATGATTCAGAGCTGAATCCATTAGTTTCAGCTATACCAGTGGACGACGACTCGGTTGATGTAAGTCCATTTACTTATTTTTCCTCACGTTCTTCCTTATTTTATTTTCCTGAAACCTTATAAAAAACAACTAAAAATTATGCTGAGAAAAATGTAAATACTTTTCAGATGTATACAGTATTGCCTATGTTTTACATTCCTAAATTGAAATTAGGACTTCAAAATGAAATCTATATATAATATCTGCGTGCGAATTTATTTTCTGATTTTTCATGCTTCACAAAAGAAAAAGATATGAGAAACTCCATGGTGTATTTTTGCAATCAAGAAGATCTGATCATTGCCAGATATTAGAGTTAATGAACATGATTTAAAGTAGTTTGTGCAGCCTCAGTGTTAATAATGTAATCTATGTAACTTGTTCTTTCTTTTAATAAATTAATAAACAGAAATTGATGGAGATGGATACTTGCGGAGAAGGAGATGAAGAATGCTTGACGAGAAGAATGATGACGGAAGCTCACTTAGACTACATTTACACACAGCACCATAAGCATTAACAAGTTTTAACATTGTAATTTGCACTTTTCAAAGAAAAAAACATTGTAATTTGCATACACATGTTTGTATATGTGTCATGTAATAATGTTACTTAGATATGTATTGTATATGAATCCTATGTGACAAAGACAGTTTGAAGAAAACCAAGATTATTTTTTCTAAATTTCCATAGCGAGAAACTCCTTTAAGCTCTAATAAAGATTTTATATATAAGTGATTGAATTAATGTTTCAAAACTTGTTAATGTGTGCAAATACGCTTAGAGATTGAAGAACCTCAAGAAGTACAAATATCTTTTACGGCGTGGAACACTCACTCGCTCATATGATAAACGGTTCAATCTCAAATCACAACTATGGAGTAAAAGGACATGACAAAGCCCATAAAAACTCAACTTCAGATTGTGTCTGTACAAATGATATATATATGATGTGTGATATGGATTTATGAGTCTTGAGACATGTTTCTATGGTAATACCATGAACCTTCCAAGTTTTGTTGAACGACTTCTTCTAAACTCAGGCATAGGTACATTACTATTACCTTCTTTCATACCATTTGAAGGCTTGTCCTCTTGTTTATTCCCCAGTGAAGTGTCCTCGTGAGCATAGATCGTCCTGCGCGGTATACGGAATGAAAGTTAACAGGTGTTTTGATTATACGTAGTGAAAGTTTATAGTAGTAACTAGTAACCTTAGTTTGTGGTTTTGGAAGTTTCTGGAGAAGTTTCTTTGTGAATTCTTCAGTTTCTGGAGAAGTATATGCTCGTTGTCTGTCTCAGAGGAATCATCACTCTTAAGTGTTGTTGAATCTGATTTGTCACCCGCACAGAGATCAGAGAACAAGCTGATACCAACGTCGAAGTTTTGGAATCTTGAGTGCATCACATTGTGGCTGTTCCCCTTTTGCTTCTGATAACTTCCTATTTTAGCTTCGGGATCCGTCTCAGAACGCAAACTGATCCCAACATCGAGTTTCTGAAACCTACCAGGAGATGGTTGCTTTGCCTTGGCTTTACTGCTCTCTGTCTTCTTTACACCACCTTGACGTATGTTAACTGCATGCCTCATATGTTGCTCATCAATCTCAGGGAAGAGCTTTCGAGCGCTTAACTTCTGAAATGTCTCTGAAGTGTTGTTATCTACACGAAGCCTGTTATCTCCTGATGGGTTCAATGGAACAGTTGCAAAAGATTTGGCTACTGGTACTCTAGCTGGGAAAGGTGTTCTTGAAACCGGAAGGTTTTGAGTCACTTCGGGTTTATTCCTGCTTTTGATTGAAGATCCTCTGTCTGTAGATAATGATCTCCTACTCGGAGGAGATGGTGATCTTGGATTTAACCTCTCCTCTGCTAGATTTGGCATCTTTGGACTTGCTTCTCTGTTTCTCAATGCAGATGTAAACCCTGACTTTCTCTGCTTTCCCGTTGAGCAACTTCTGTTCTGTAAATCACGTTCACTGATTAGACTATTGTCTCTTTTGCCAACTAGAAAATTCCAGCCTCTGTGTGATTTTTACCTCGTAGCTTGGTTGTGAACTTGCTTCAGCCTTTGTTCTTGAGATATGGAAAGGAGAAACTGCTCTTGCTTTCTGAGATTCAGTTGTGTTCCGAATGCTACTCACTCGCAATTGTTCAAGCTCTGTTTCCTTCTTCTCCAATGCAGATTTAAGGCTGGATATCTACAAATTTTTGGAAGTAAAGATTGTTTACAATATATACTTTTACCCTTTGCACAACAGAAATGAAACAGGTTTGCTATAGAGACCTCATCTTTAAGATCTCGAATATCACCAGTTTCCTTGTTTGATCGAGCTGCTCCAAGTTCAATGGACGCAACTCTTTGCGCAAACTTAAGTGTGCTTATAGTCTCTCCTACCGCATTAACTTCAGGGTTTATATGCACAAACATTAACGTTTTCGCTTGTCCACCTGCACCTAGTTTCATAGATGAGACATGAAGCTACAAATGAAAACAATGTATTGTCTTAGTGTTTTTTTTTTTACCTAAGGAATCTTGTAGAACTTGTGTAAGCTTGCTGTTTCTGTAGGGAACGTGTGAACTCTTTTGCGCAAGTGCTGAGATAACATCTCCTAGTGCAGACAAAGATTTGTTTATGTGTTGAGCTTCTTTCAGTCTCTCTCCCACAGCTTCTGATTTCTCTACTCTTTCACTTCCAGCCAAATCCACTAGATGAAGGCAACCTCTTAAGATAGATCCTGAGGCCAACTCTTTTCCTTGAACGTGAACGGTTAAGACACTGCAGTAGAATATACAGCAGTTACAAAAACTATTACATATGATCATACGAAGAGTTTAAAGATTGACGTAAGAAGTGGAACTAAGATACCTATGAGAACGGCTGCTTCTCTCATTCAAAGCAGTGGCACCCACTGCACGATTCTTTTGGCCAATCCTCATCAAATCAAGCACATCTCGAGTACTAGAAACTGGAACCAGGCTTGCGTCAGGTACATTAAGACCATTGAGTTGAGAGTTATTTCGTATGTCTAACGTGAGAAGCTGGTCAAGAAAAAACCCGAAGAGATTATGTAGACAATTCAGTAGAACTCAAGACCTTCTTCATTATAAACTATATATAAAAAAGGATATCTTCTTGAAGAACCATCACTGACTAGTAAATCTCTAACTTGTTCATTGTATATTTCAATCATTTGTACTCCAATTTCATAAGTAACAACATGTGTTCTTGCGTTTGAAAGCTGGAAGAGATCACGTAGAGCTCTGTAGTTCACTCCCCAAGTTGTCTCAGTCATCAGATCAGGCCCACTCTACAAGACACAAACTAAATCCATGTCCAAGGGAAAAATAAGACATAAAAATGTATGACGGTTTATATTAATGGGTCATTACCATTGTGTACGTTTTCCCTGAACCAGTTTGCCCATACGCGAAGATGCAAACATTGAATCCATCAAGAACAGACCTTATCACCGGTCGAGTGTCCGCATAGATTTGCTCTGGTAAGTATACAAATCATTCATCAGTATAAAGATAGACAAGACATCATCATGAAAGTAGTGCAAAACCAACTTGTAGATGGTTGTTATTGGAAGAAGAAAAAAAATTAAACATACCTTGTGATACGTTCTGTCCAAATACTTTATTGAAGGCGAAGATTTTGCGTGCATCTTTCTCCTGCTTAAAAGGATTGACAATCATTATATTACCATTTTCTCCGATATAATCCACCGTTGATTGCATATCTTTTGTTCCTTGTAAGAAAGGTCTGACTCTGCAGTAGACTCTAATGGTCCCTACATTACAACGATAACATAAGTCATTACACTAGAAAGTTCTAGAAAATCAAATGCAGAGATGTAATAAGTGGTGGTACCTTTAAGATCTTGGACCTCATTGTAGAGTAAACGATTTTCCTCCAGAACCTTGTGGTAAGAAGAAGATGTAACTTCCATGGTCTTAACGTGATGGGCTGCAATAGAGAGAGATGGAGATTTATAAGCCCTGTTCTTTTTCTTAATGCTGCGTCAGCGGTAAGAAAATTACAAAGGAAATCCAGCAAATATGACGTTGGTGGTGATGGATGAAGACGCAGCGACAACACACAAGAGCATGCGCCTTGATTCAAAGCGTCACCAACAATTCTATTTTCAGACACGGTTTCTAGATTTCTGGGAAGCTTTCAATCTACCACGTGTTAATTTTAAAGTTTCTAAAACTTAAATTTCTAGTCGCTGCGGCAGACGCAGCGTTAATAAAAAGAACTGGACGAATGTAATATTTAATTACTGAGAAGAAGAAATTTAGGTATAGAGAAAATATATCCCTACCTATCCTTTGAAGTTCTTCATGCCATTCTGATTGCATTTGTTTAACTTGGCATCTTGTTTCCATATAATTTGATTTTACTTCCTACATGAGTGCAACGAATAAATGAATTTATCTCGTAAACATGAATGCAATTACAGATATCTATTGACCAAAATTCTCTTGCAGCCTTCCTCTTTCACTTTAGTATTGAAAGAGAGAGGAGAGATCCTTACCTCCAGCTCTTTCTGTTGAAGACCAATAGCTTCTGCATGACCAGGAGAAAACTTATGGACGCTTGATCCAATAATCTCAGGCTTTCCACCACACTTGCAAAACTTTGAAAACTCCTTTGACACCATATCTTTTCTGTGTCGAAGATATCTGAAGACTGCTTCTAAAAACTCTGATCTTGATAGATCCCCGTTGTCACATTTCAAAATCTTCCTTAGAAACGAACCCAGCTGCAAAGAAGATACCAGAAACTAATTATGTACCTTGGAGAAACGTCTTAACATTTGAAAAGAGTTACATGAAGAGTATGCAGTACCTGAGTCCCCTGAGAAACTAGTATGGCTGAGAAATCCTTAACTACTCTGTTGAGCAAAGTATCAGTCACCTATAAAAGTAACCAGAATCAGAGAAAGTGAAAGAAAAATTCTAGTTTTCTAAATGATCGATTCAACATGACATGAGTTAAATGTTTAACCAAACTCAACTCAAACGTGTCTTACCACCTACCATTTCATTTAAAGGCAGATCACTGATCCCATCACTCTCCTTAAGGTAAGCAGTTAGAAGCTGAACCGCGAAATGATCGAAAAGAAAAGCCCTGGAGACTGCAGTTTCGGATTCCTCATTTGCAATCTCATTAGAGAGGTGAAGAAAATCCAAAAGTTGCTCATAGTGAGAAGACTCGGATTCGTCCAAAGAGGCAGACTCATCAGTGTTGCTTTCGGTACCACCCAGAGACAAACTCTTCGATGAGCCTTTCGGATTCAAAGAGACTATCCTCACAGTGCCTCCATACCTCCACACTCCAACTCCACCTGCTTGTTTCCACTCGTAAAACCCTTTCAAACACAAAATGCAATCTACTACTTTGTTCGACGATCCTCCCTGCAAAAAAAAAAAAACAAAACAAAAAAGACAAAATCTTTCATATCCTAAACAAGTTTATGGTTTATGCATCATCACACAACAAAATAAAAGAGACTCATAACGAACATTATCTTCACTGAATTCCATCAAACAGTACATATGCATAAATTGCAAAATTCACAATATAGAAACAAAAAACCTCTTCGAGATCAGAAGCTCCAAAGGTCAAAAGCTGCATGTCCTCTACAGCTTTAAGAAAGTTCCTCATGTTCTCGAAATATTGAATTGCGGATTGAGCCGCTCCTTCTGCGTACTGAATAGCTAACGTGACAGGATTCTCCACCACCTAAGCTCAACAATGAAAGTCAGAAATTCCAAATTGTAGAAGAAATCAAACGAATTCAGGCAAACATCGATCAGAAAAGGAGTTGAGAGATTGATTATAAACTGGACCTTGAGAACCGAACCGGGATTGACTTTGTTGAGGACGTTGCAGAGAATGAGGCCGTTGCGGAGGGAAAGGCAGAAGTCTTCTTCCGAAGGTTTTTCCGGCAGTGTCTCCGCCGCGCCTTGGTCCATCTGTCTCAGCCATGCCACCGCTTGGTATCTTCTTTTAGCTTATGGTTTTGTGACAATTCACAACCGCCAAAATTCATTTTATTGTTATTATTCGGAAAAAATATATATAAAGCTCGCTAACAGTAATCAACGCGGGAAATGAACTGGGCCCAGATATTGATTTAAAGCCTAATATCTAGCCTAATGGGGTTTAAGAATCCACATTCTTATTATGTATACATAATATAACTGTGTTTTTCAAATTTTTATTGTATTTTTGACAAATTATCTTTCTATATAAATATACTTTTTCACCTATAAGAAAATGTTGAAATTCCCGTAATTTACATTAGTACGGGCCAAATGTGTTAGCAGCTCGAAATGCTAGATTTCATCGACTCGATTTTTTAACATAGAAATTAATATATATTTAGAGCCGACTCTAATCTTAAGCAGATAAAGGTTATACTTGCAAACGTCAACAGGTTTTATACGTAAAAGGGCAATAAATAAGTTATCAATTTATATTTTTCAAGTGTTTGACGTGTATCTATTAGATAGAATGAATTTTTTTATATGTAAACGGGCAATAAATAAGTTATCAATTTATATTTTTCGAGGGTTTGACTTGTATATCTATTAGATGAATGAATTTTTTTGTAGAAATGATTTAATATCAATTTTCACTTTTTATCATTCAATACTTAATATTGTGAAAAGCTACATACCATTAGTAATTAATTTTGACATTGGAAATAACCATTTTCTTCTCTAAACTCCATTAGTCGAGAAAATTTGCTTGGAGATTGAAAATTCTCAAGCCGACTCAGATATATTTCTAGAGTTGAATGTAGAATTAATTCGAAGAAAAAGGATTTGGGAGATACATAAAATTTGAAATGTATGACCAGAATAATATAGTCATGGTGATTACTGATTAGTTGTAACGTATTACGTTACGTATATGTATATTGCATAGCCACCAAACATAAAGTAATAGCTTGTAGTTTGTGGTGGGTAACCCTCTAATGAAAGCCATTTCATAAAGCATTTTCTAAACGACTTTCTCTAATTCAAAGTTCAAACCCAACCTAATTTTTTTTTTGAATGACAAAGCTAATATATATATGGTCCACCCGCAACTTTTTTTCTCTTTTACCTTATCTGATTTATCTTCATATTCATAATGAAATCAGTTTTAAGAGAGAACAAAAAAACAATGATGAGACAAACCTGTTTCTTCAGCTTTTCGTTGAGCAAGCTCATAATCTCCGTTACTTGTGGACACCAAACCCTTTAATCCTCTCATTAGTTCTTGTGGCATTTTTCTCTTTCCTTCTTTTTAATAAATTTGTGCTGATTTATAAGCCATCTTCCAAAACTTAGAACTATTCTGAAAACCAATTATATCAATAAGTATTTATCAAACTGAGCCAAAAAGAAATGCTTCTTGAATCCAATTTTGGTTTATTGCAGAAATTTTTAACTCTTAAAGGCAAAAAGACCAAATGGTAACTAAAACACATAATTTAAAATCTGAAAGTTCAATACATAGAAGGAGTGAGATCTCTATATCTAACTTATATATCCCAACAAAATGATAGAGTATCTCAAAACCAACTTCATCAATAAGTAATTATCAAACTGAACAAATAATTTATAATTTGAATATTAAATTCATATAAGAAGTTCTAGATCTCTATATATCCAACTAACTTTACGAACGAATAATCTTCACATAAATTTGAGTCTCTTTTTAACAAAGAAAACAATTGAGTATCTCTAATAGCAGGATTAATGGAAACTCAACAATAATAAGTAATATATATATATATATATATATATATATTATGTGGAGGAATGGAATTAGCTTTAGAAGTGGAATAAGAGAGAATTAAAATGAACCATAACTAGAACCTGAAGGGACGCTGTTGTTCATCGATCAAACCTTTCGAACCAAGATGAAGAACAGGAGATGATGAGATTTTTTTATCATAGCTCTGAGATGAGAAAAAATAGAGAGAGAGAGAGAGAGAGAGAGAGAGAGAGAGAGAGAGAGAGAGATTTGTGTAGAGAACAAATTATTCTGCCTTTTGCACTTTTGTTTTTCTTTCCTTTTGTAACCGGTAGAAGAAGATGAAGAAAGAGAGACGTGGGTAGAGAAAATCAAGTGTTGGTTCACTGTCTTTTGTTCATTTATTATGTTTTTTAACGACAAGCTTAGTTTGCACTTTTTTTGTCCGAATGTATTTTTCTATACCATGCATTTTTCCTTTTCATTTTTTATACTTTACTAGTTGATGTGATTCACATGATTTTTTTTATTACATGGATAAATCTTATCATCATATTTTAGACCAAAAAGCATCATATATTAAACTTAAATTTCAAATATGTTGGGTTTGGGAGTCAGCCACTCTAAAAAATTTAAGTTTATATGGGAAAATATCAAACCATATGTTTGAGCGCTCTTAGCAAGGGGATCAGTCCAAACAATAAGAGTATGTGGGGTACAAACTATTGAAAGGTTATGGATTATAATGCAAAAAATTCAGTTCTTCAAGTTCCATTGCTAACGCTGGCCATTCGTCTTCCTCTTCAATCAGGTTTATTATCTGTAAACAGTCTGTCATTTTGAAGATGTGGTAATCAAATACGGGATCACAACAAAAAAATGATATCAGCGATTCCGGATGATAGGCATTTCACAACAAAATCAAACAACTGAATCCAGCGATTCTCTACTACTGGCATCGGAATGGGTTCTGAGGAGGTTCGCATTCGATGGGACGAATCTTCGTATCCATTTTTAGTATGGTTTCCGATCTCACACAATTTGTTGATAAACAGCTTTACTGATCTGGATGAGTGGATCTTCTCTCTAACTTAAAATAATTATGGCAACAAATATGAAAAGATGAAGATCAGACTAATAAGGTGTATACAGAGGAATTGCTATCTCAATAATCAGAATTTCTTTTTTGTTGGTATACTGATATCAATAGGGAAGATACAAAGATCGTAATCAACTTTATTGGAGGATTCACATATGGTGATTACGGAATTATGGGGTCAAAGACATGAGAACTACTGTTATACGGTGATTACGGATTTGGGGGCTTGACAAGATTCTTCTAGAGGATCTCACTCTACTATATAGGGGTCACGAACTCACTCCAAAGTTATCAGTCTCACACAAACTTTTCAGCTCTTCATCGAGTAATCTCAAGGATTATCAACTTGTCACAGAGCGGTTGTCTTGAGGTCTCAAGTGAAGGGAAACAAAAGGTTGTTTTCACGGCCGGTTTCAAGATAAAGATCCCCAAGTTTGATAATACAAAGCTGATTGAATGTTACTAAGAAACTCTCATCGGGCAGTGTCTAAACCCAAGCAAACAAGATGTTAAATTATTGCTCTACATGATGCCATGCATTTGGAAGGTCGAATGATATGTTTAAATTATCCCTAGAGCTACTTTTTCAAATTAAGAGGTCAATGTAGTACTTGCGGTATCGAATCCACAGAGACTTAAGATTGTTACACAACGGACTTTAGGTTCAAATTCAGCTAAGCGAATCAATATAAAGTAAAACAAAATAGCAAATAAAAGTAAGCAGATGGTTTGTAGGTTCTTAAAATCAATGAGACAAGGCGCTAGGCAATGGGAAACTCGCAGGTTGACATAAATTACAGACTACAGACTGAAAGGATAATTTATTAAAACCATTCTAGAACTCGAAAACACACATGTAAAATCGATCAACTTCCGTTGCAAAGATTATCAATGAATAAATCATAGAATCTCAAATTCTTTTGGAAATTCAAGTAATTTAAACAAGCATTATAGTCCAAGTTCGATTTGTTCACAAAATCTTTAATCCAAATTCCTTTGCAATTAGTATTTTGCTCATCTAAAATAGTTCTGGTGATTAACAATGCTTTCATATCTATTAAACAACCTAATATCTGATTTCTAGGTGATCAATCTTAATATCAGTGTTATAGCAATCCAGATAAAGAACCAAAGGATTTATCCTAACAGTCATGCAGTTCTAGCAATTCATTATCAACCTTTTAGTAACCCAAAACCTAACTAGTAGATTACTCAAACATAGAAATTGAAATACAAATAATGACTGAAGTAAATTGCATTAAAAGAATAGAGTAAAGATCAAAGGGGTTCGAAATTCTTCTCTAGCAGTGTACGGATTTGTCTCCCCAAAAGCTCCTGATCTAATCTCTCTCTAAGTTTCAATGAAAACAAGATAATGGCCTAAAATGGCTCTGAAAACCTAAATACACGTCTAAACATGACTGGGGAAAGTTTGCAATTAGTGGAAAACTTTTGGACCAAGTTGTGATTCTTCAGATATCTTTTAAAAACTCCAGCTCGCATCCACGATCGATGCCGATCAACACTAAATGGTAGGTGTCGATCCACACCATGCACTAAATACTGCTCTGAGATGGTCTTTTCAGCAACAACTTCAAGATAGCTCCAAATTGCTTCCAAATCCACAATTATTCTCCAAACGTACCTAAACCTATAAAGACTAAAAAAATACCAAAAAGATTATATAAACAAGACTTATATCATGGTAAAAAAAACTCATAAAAACCATGATATATCAACTCTCTCAGACTTAGCTTTTGCTTGCCCTCAAGCAAACATAAGACTAAGAACAGAGTCGAGGTTTGAAAACACAGGAACTCACCTTCTCATAGATAATTGTTTAACTGTTCATCTTGTAATCCACACACTGCAGTAAGTAAACCAAATCGAACCATCATGAACTTCTCCTTAGACATTCACAGCATCCCAATTTTAACTCATAAATTCACAGTATTGTCCAATAATCATCCTTGATAAACCTCATTAGCAGTCTAAATATTCAAGAACCTTCAAATTTCATTTCCCTACTATACCTAAATAAATTAGCACTGCAATTTATCAACCTTTGGTACTCTTGCTCTCCCCCATACTCTTATATTTCATTATATTATTCAGGTGTAGGTAAATAATGGTATCATGGGATAATCTTAATCTTATCTCCACTTGTGATCATCTCTTTAAAATGAAACACTGGGATCATTGGAAATTTTCTTACCCTTCACCCAAAGAGAATCATCTCAAATTTTTGAAAATATATAATATTTATTTATTTCTTTTTTTATCAAACAAAGGAGAGGAGTACCATCACTTTTCAAACATTGCAGGCAAATTATCAAGTAAGAATGAGAAATCAAGCTTTATGAGCATCAAACTTTCTAACTTAGTCTTTTTGAAGTTCAAGTTAAATGGACTATGCTCGAACTATAGATGTCTCTAGTTAGCTGGTCAGCCTAGGGATTTTTCATCAGTCATATATTGGTATTAATTATGCAGCAGTGGTCAATCATATGAAACAATCAATACAAACAATCAAGAAAAGGTTCCTAGTTCCCAACTAATTGACTCAATAAAATAGATTTTTGACACACTAATTGACTCTAAAAAATAACACATTGTCAGCAACAACCTCCCTCAGACTTAAACACCACTGTCCCTAGTGTTATTAAGCATGAAGTTGGCAAAGATTAGAAACGAATCTGTTTGAACATAGAGGAGAAGATGGTATTTGTGATCACGCGGGGTGTCGATCGACACCCTATGGTTGGCATTGATCGACACTCGGTTCGAAGACTGAATGTGATGGACCCAAACGTGAACATTATTGCATGTTAGATTGATAGCTGGAGTTCTGCCTAGTCAAAACTGTTAGGAACACTCAAGAACACAATTAAAAGCAACAATACAATGCATAATCTCACAAGTTCAAACAAGTTTCAAATCATAATCATAGCTGACAAACTGACTCAAAGCAAAAACAGAAAAACTGACTCAAGAAAAATAAATAGAAGGAAAAAAAATAACAACCAGGATAGATAGAGGAACTAGTCCTCATCTATATCGCGATGAGGTGTCGATGGTCGAACGCAGCCGCAGTTCGAGTTCACTACCATGACATTCCAGAGGCTCTGGATGCTCTGAACTATGAATCGCTGAAAAGTGGCCTTGCTCTATGGGAATGCCTGGAATCTATGGGAGATGATGAGATCCAATCGGCTGAGGCAATGCGGGAGCTCTGGCGGCTCGAGAACGTCTAGATGAACTTCCAGCAAGGTCATCAACAGGTGCATCCTCAGCAGAAGAAGTAGTAGCGCGCAAAGAGCCTCCTCTGCGCCTAGTAGCTGGCGCGGATCGTAGCAATGTAGCCTCAGCCTGAAAGCTGAGGAGGTTTCGATGAAGTGCAGTGAAATCTGGTTGAGGAAGCGGTATCAGACATCACTCACCACTGGCGCTAACAAAGCTCCAAATCATATCATCTCCTCTTATCCAAGTAGCCCTCTTCAAGTAATCCATGCCAACAAGGTTGCACCAAGTCACAACAGTGTTGATCGAATACAATCCCACAATGTCGGAATAGAGGAGTCAAAAGGCTACCAACACTCTCGGGCTTGAGGCTGGTTCCTGTGAATGACCTGGTCTTCAAAGAGGCCAAATGATGTGTAAAGATAGCTCCCAGTTTGACATCGCCGTCAACCTCAAATGCCTCTGGAAGTACATCCTCAAAGTCATAGTAGAGCAAGCTCAGCTCTAAAACTCTCATCTTCCCTGGCTCAGACTTACACAGAAATGTAGTGGAGATGAGGTGGGCAACAATGCGCAGCAAAGGGTGACGGACATCTGTATGAGTTGAGGTCTTAGAGTCATACCTCCCATTCCCGAAGTGGGACAAAAACCCTGCAGGTTCGGGAACTGCGCTGGAAGAGCCACGCTGGTGTGTGCAGTCTCGAACCCATAGATCTGACAGAACTCAAGAAGAGGGATCTTGTATCTGATACCTCAGATAATGAATGTGATAGCTCCCTCATGCGCCATCTTGACAATCTCATTGTCATAGTAGACCCTCACTGTGGCTAGAAAATGGTGCACCAAGTCCGGATACATGTCATATTACTTGGTAGCAATAGTGTTCAAGCAAATCTTCTTCAACAGTCCTTAAGCCCAAGTCTGCATAGTGTATCACGGTCCATGAATCTCGTAGGCACTGCCTCCATCTTCAACCAGGCATTATAGAAGAGAGTATCGTAATCATCCCATGTCTCTCTGATCTCTTTGTAAACGCA